TGTGTTCAAGCTTTAAACCTGAGAAATAAATTGACTTTGACTTTATTAAATTTATGAAAACTTATGAGCTACAAGCAAATATAAAAATAATTATGTATGAATGTCACTGGCACTTGCCATTGGTCTGACTTGCTGTCATTACAGAATCCTAATGGCCAGAAGTACTACTAATTTGAGAGTAGAATACAAAATCTAAAACTTTTTTTGGACATTAAATTAAATCAATGATATGTAATATTTGTTTGAAATTTGTTATTTTTTTTATCTCTTTCAACAGTGTGAGCTTTACCATTGGGTGGATCTGTTGGACCGCTTCGATGGTATTCTGTGTGATGCAGGCCAGACAGTAGAGAATATGTCATGGCTGCTGGTGTGTGACCGTCCAGAGAATGGACAGCTCAAAGCCTTGCTTTTGGCAGTGCTCAACTTCACAGCTTTGCTTATTGAGTACAGCTTCTCTAGGCACCTTTACAGCTCCATAGAGGTATGGTTCAACCAATTCAGTTCTTCAGTACTACTGATACATATTTGTTTTTTTTTGTGCTGTGGATATGTCAGAGAAAACGAAGTTCACAAACTTAAATATTTCTTGTTTTATCTACCATCCACCCCCTTTACAGCACCTGACCACCTTGTTAGCATCATGTGACATGCAGGTGGTCCTGTCTGTGCTGAACCTACTCTATGTGTTCAGTAAGCGATCCAACTACATCACAAGACTGGGATCTGAAAAAAGGACTCCTCTCCTGGCCCGTCTGCAGCACTTGGCTGAGGTCTGGTGAACATTTGTCATTGTGATTCTAGCTGTCCCTCAAGAAGTGGAGTTGAATTGTTTAGTCTCTTTGTTCTTTTCTGCAGAGTTGGGGTGGGAAGGAGAATGGCTTTGGTCTGGCTGAATGTTGCAGGGATCTGCCTATGACGGTAAGATTTCTTTTTTTTCTTTTTGTGAGTGAGTGATGTTTCATAACTATCACCTACATATTACTGTTGGCCAGAAACGTCTACTTATAAATTATGTTTATATTCCCACTGCAGAAGTATCCTCCCAGTGCCACCACACTTCACTTTGAGTTTTACGCTGAACCGGGCCCTGAGGTCAAAGTAGAGAGAAAGGTATAGGCATCAACATTTACTAAAGCAACCAAAGTAAAAACTGAATAATATTTGGAATATTCTGTTGACCACCTGACTGTGTCCCAATCATTTCCAAATGTCATATTCCCTCCGCAGACAAGTAGTAACACACTACATTATATTCACATCGAGCAGCTTGACAAGGTACAGTCAAATTAGAATTGCATCATTAACAGCTTAAAAGCCACATCTTGGCTTCTTGACCTAATACACAGCTTGTTTTGTCTCATAGATTTCAGAGAGCCCATCAGAAATCATGGAGTCACTGACAATGATGTACAACATCCCAAAAGACAAACAGACCCTACTGTTTACTCATATTCGACTAGCCCATGGTTTCTCAAATCACAAGAAGAGGTTGCAGGCCGTACAAGCCCGACTGCATGCTATTTCTATACTGGGTGAGCAGAAAGCTTTTTCCCAAGAAAGTGACATGATTTTGGTCCTAGTTTTATGTCCTAACCTTTTCTCTCTTTTTCTTTGCCTCTCCCCACCAGTGTATTCAAATGCACTCCAAGAGTCAGCCAACAGTATTCTGTATAATGGCTTGATAGAGGAGCTGGTGGATGTCTTGCAGATTACAGACAAACAGCTTGTGGTAAGAAAGTAATTTTTTTCCCTTTTTTTTCCCCTTCAAGCTCGATCACTGTCATTACACTAAACGTACTTTCATTGTATTAATAAAATGTCTTTTGATGTGTTTTGTGACTGTGTGAGAAGATGATTACTTTCAGTGCCTTCTTTATTCTTAGGTCTGCACAATCTGTCCTTTTGCATTGTCTGTTCTCTGAAGTGCTGTATTGGATTTTGTTCTTCAGGATATCAAGGCGGCCTCTTTGCGCACTTTAACTTCAATTGTCCATCTGGAGAGGACGCCCAAGCTTTCCAACATCATCGACTGCACCGGCACTGCCTCATACCATGGCTTCTTGCCCGTGTTGGTTCGCAATTGCATACAAGCAATGATTGGTGAGAACATAGCAGAAATTATGACCCAAATTTTTAATGAGTGATGTGCAAGAAATTTGGTAAATAAAATCAGAGCTTTTAACCCCCCCCCCCCCTTCTTTCTAGATCCTCTGATGGAACCTTACCCACACCAGTTTGCAACAGCACTCTTTTCATTCCTTTACCATTTGGCTAGCTATGATGCTGGAGGGGAGGCCCTTGTGTCCTGTGGAATGATGGAAGCCCTCCTTAAGGTACATACAGGCCCTGTAGCACATCGTAGCCATTCATAATGTTGTCTTTAAGAAATATATCAATGATTATCTTGTACTTCATAGGTGATCAAGTTCTTGGGTGACGAGCAGGACCAGATCACCTTTGTAACAAGAGCAGTGCGGGTTGTGGACCTCATCACCAACCTTGACATGGCTGCCTTTCAGTCCCACAGCGGCCTTTCCATTTTCATCTGCAGACTAGAGGTTTGTTAGGCATATTCCTGACCTAGCCACTTTTAGATACAGTCACTCAGTCCGCTGCATTTTCTCATTCCTCTCTCTATCAATTTCTTAATATAGCATGAGGTGGACCTGTCGAGAAAAGAGTGCCCTTTTGTCATCAAGCCAAAGATCCAGAGGCCTAGTGCAGCAGTAGAGTCTGAGGACATGGACACAGACATGGAGAGTAAGTGAAGATATGGAATGTTTTGAACTTCAATAATATACCAAAAACTTGATTAGAAAACAACCAACCAACCACATGATGTTATGTTCCGTACTAACAGAAGATTGCTCTAAAAGGTTTTTTAAAACTTTTAACTAAAAGCACTTATTTCTTAAATCCAGCTTCGCAGACAGTGTTATATCTTTGTCACATTTTGAGAGCAGGGCTCAATGGTGTATATATTAGCCTCTATATGTATAGTGTTTCATGTCCTCTTTAATGTTTAACATCAGGGTGGTGGTTAAAATGATCTCAATGGACTGGTATTTACATAGTGCTTTTCTATATATACTGACCACTAAAAATGCTTGACACGACACATGCATTGATAGATTTATTCCACAAAATCGTAGCGCTTTGTTGGTCTCACCTCTACAATCAATTTAAAATTGATTTGATCTCAAATGGATGTCTCTAAACAAACGGAGCAAACCCACCCTGGCACAGGGAGAGCATGCAGGCTATGTGCATGATGGCTCCAGGAAGGTGTGAACCTAGAACCTTCTTTCATGCTGTAGATGGTGCTAGCTTTTATTTACTGAAAACACATACCCTGGTTGGAATCTAGATTGCTCAGGCATGCGGATGGTATGGTAAGAATTTGTTGTCACCAAATTCTGTGACTCCTTGGATGGTGCCAAACATTCAGGCTGGTGCAGGTTGTATAATGATGAGGGCAATCTTTGTGGACCAGATTAAGGGCAACTTTAAACCTGTTATTAATTGAATGCCGCTGCTGACTTGAGAATTTTTGTTGATAAACGCAACAGTGAGTTCTCAGTGCTTCACCGGCCTTTCCAGTCTTTGAGTAGAACACTTCTCGTTTGAAAAGAGGGTTGTTGGATGAATGCGGAGCTGACAGATCTTCTAAACGTATTGGGGTAACTCCTTTACAGAGACAATGTTGGTGTTTTTGAATTTTAGTTGGCATCAGAGGAAAATCACGAGTTCCAAAATAATCAAGCACTATGTGAATGTGTTTGATCACACATGGCAGGTGAACAAGGACATATGACTTCTTTGCCAAAAAGTTGATTCTTTTCATCTGGATGTAG